CCTCACCCCCTTCCCTGTACTGTCGTTTTTTTTTCTTTTCTTTCTTTCTTTCTTTCTTTCTTTTTTTTATCCTAGTAATTTCTTCCTCCTCCTGTCTTTTCTTCTTGAGAGGGCTTCTTGCTTGTCCTCCGGCGGTCACTTGTCAAGGTAGTGAACGTTCTCAATTGTCTATTACACAGCCATGTCTTTGCACGCCTCAATTTAGACCTGGGGGCTCTTTTTTTTTAGTGTGTTCGTAGCGTGTGCTGACTGACTGACTGGCTGGCTGACCGACCCCTCGGACAGACGCCAACACAGGTAATTACGTCATCACCGGCCGTGAGGAGAAGTTGGAGGGGGAGGCCTTTCTTTTTGACCACCACCACAACCATTAAAGTAAGCTATCTCTAAGAGCGTGGGCGGGAAGCCATAACAAGATCGTCATTCTCAACTCTACGACTGCCAGCAGCGGGTCCATGTGGTTGTGGTAAAGTTCTTTTTTTATTTTTATTTTTTTACATTTCTTAATTAAAATCTAAATTTAAAACGAACTATTCGCACCAAGTAGAGCGGCGCATTCGTTAGGCTATATAAACAAGTTTTCAACTTTCTCACGACAAACGCTTTTAAAAAAACGAACTACACGTACTTGCATCTCTAGAGATCTAATAGAGCGGAACAGAAATTCGTATAAAAACAAGTTTTCAACTTTTTCGAAATAACGCTTTTTCCGTCGGGACAGATCGGTTTGGCCACTAAAGACAGTGTGGTAGAGTCCAGACTCACTCCCATACACGAATGACACAAATAGATCTATAAAAGTGCAATGTAGTCTATAGAATTAAACTTGTCTTAAGCAACCAATATGTTTTAACTTAAGCATCACAAGATTTTGACTTACGCATCAAAACCTATAGGTTTTAACTTAATAAGCATCACAAGATTTTGACTTAAACATCAAAACCTATAGATCTTAACTTAAGCATCTCAAGATTTTGACTTAAGCATCACAACCTATAGATCTTAACTTAAGCATCACAAGGCACAGACAGACGCTATCGCGTTCCCCACCAGCGCTTTCTTCTTTCTTTTGTAACTTAACAACAACCCCCATCACGCACGCACATCGAGGCAGACCGCGCGACCACTCGGCCATTATTATCCCCC